TAGTTGGAGCCGTGAGAGTGTATGAGTTGGCCAAGGGAGGAGGTGTAGATGGAGAAGAGAAGGGGCCCAAGGACAGAGCCTTGAGGGACCCCAAACAGAGAGGGAGGAGTGAGGGGGAGGTGGTAGCATTCTAGGTAATGCTGAAAGAGCGTTGTGACCGGTAGGATGAGAGCCAGGAGAGAGCAGAATCTCTGAGGCCGAGGGAGTGTAGTTTTTTGAGGAGGAGGGGTGTGGTCGACTGTGTTGAAGGCCGCAGAGAGGTCAAGGAGTAGGAGCACTGAATAATGGCCATTTGCTTTGGTGGTTAGCAGGTCGTTGGAGAGTTTGAGTAAGGCAATTTCGGTGGAGTGTAGGGGACGGAAGCCGGACTGTAGGGGATTGAGGAGGTTGTTGTCGTTGAGGTGAGAGCTTAGGCGGTTGTAGACTAGGCGCTTGAGGAGTTTAGATGTAAATGGGAGCAGGGAGATGGGTCTGAGGTTGTTCGGGTCATTGGGGTCCAGGGAGGGCTTTTTAAGTATGGGGGTGATGTGTGCATGTTTCAGAGGGGAGGGGAAAGTGCCGGAGGAGAGGGAGAGATTAAAGATGTGGGGTGAGGGAGCGTAGGATGGAGGGGGAGGGAGGTCATAGGAGTTGTGAGGGGATAGGGTAGAGGGGGCAGGTGGTGAGGCGGGCATCAGAGAGGATCTTGGCGACTTCCTCGATGGTAGTAAGGTTAAAGGTGCGGAGTGTTGGGGGGGGGGGGGCTTCAGTATGAGGAATGTAGGGTGGGGTGGAAGTGGGGGTCAGAGCAGTGGTGGGGCCGTGGGAGAGGGGTGATGAGGGGGTAGTTGAGTGAGGGGGAACGGGGTTGGAGGGAGTTTGAGCAGCGACGAAGGCCCTTCAGGTTATGTCGAGGGAGAGGGGGATGAGGGGGTAGCTGTGTGAGAGGGGACGGGTTGAGAGGGCGTGTGAGTTACGGCGATGTCCTTGCGAATTGTGTCAATCTTGTTTTTGAAGTGATTGGCAATCTCAAGGGCAGTGAGTGAGGTGCTGGGTGGAGGTGGCGAGAGTAGAGTTGTTGAAGGTGGAGAAGAGTCGGCGAGGATTGGAGGAGAGGGGCCTTGATGAGGGTCAGGAAGTAGACTTGTTTGGCTGCGTGGAGGGAGGAGGTGTAGGTGTGGAAGGCAGATTTGCGGGCGAAGGCTTGTTGGAATTTGATTTTGCGCCATAGTCGCTCCAGGGCACGACTGTGTCGTTTGAGGGTTTTGGTGTGATCAGTCTGCCAGGGCTGGAGCAGTCGAAGTCTGATGTTGCGTTTGGTTAAAGGTGCTAGTGAGTCAAGGGCTGCTGACAGCGCATTGTTGTAGGCAGTCATAGCCAAGTCGGGGCAGGACAGGGGGAGGATGCGGTCATGGAGTTGATCAGCTGCAGAGTGGAGGGGGCAGGGTTTAAGGTTGCGGAGGTTACGGCTGGTAGCAATGTGACATTTGGAGGGGTAGGCGTTGGAGGACGAGGAGATAGAAAAGGTAATCAGGTTGTGGTCAGAGAGAGGGAAGGGGGTGTTAGTGAGGTTGTGGGGAGCACAGCGGTTGGAGAAGACTAGATCAAGGATATTACCGTTGGAGTGGGTGGTGGATTGTATGCACTGTGCAAGTGCAAAGGAGGAGGTTAAGTGGAGGAGATGGGATGTGTCTGGGTTGTCGAGGTTGACAGGGATGTTGAAATCCCCAAGGATGATGGTGGGTAGCTCAGAGGAGAGGAAGAAGGGTAGCCAGGAGAAGTCATCCAGGAAGCGGGATATGGATCCAGGAGGCCGGTATATCACAGCAATCTTCAGGGGGGTTGGGGAGAATAGTCAGACGCAGTGGGCCTCGAAGGAGAAGGATAGGGGGGGGGTTTGGGAGGACTCGGAAGGTGCTCTGTTGTGACAGGAGCAGACCAACCCCACCACCTTTACAACCGTTAGGCCTGGGTGAATGGTTCGAGGTGAGACCTCCGTAGGAAAGTGCAGCAGGGGAGGTAGAGTCAGTGGGCTGGATCCAGGTTTCTGTGATCGCTAGGAGGTTGAGGGAGCGGTAAACAAAGAGGTCGTGGATGGCAGTAAGCTTGTTGCACACTGATCGGGCGTCAGGAGTGCACATGAAAACGGGGGGGAGATTTTAGGGAGCAGGGGGACAGATACTAAGTTACGGGGGTTGCGGCAGGACGTAGAGGCGGGGAGGGTGTTGTGCGGGTGAGGAGGTGGTGGAGGGCCAGGATTCAGGGAGATGTCCCCGCGGTTAGGAGGAGAAGGGTGAGAAAGGTGGCATGGGAGCGGGATGTGCAGGAGCATGAGAAACTACTAGTGGAGGTGTTCAGGTCAGTGGGAGAGTGGAGTAATAGGAGGAGGTGGTGGGTGCCATAGAGGGGCGAAGGAAGCAGTGAGGACACAATATACAAATGTTTGGGAGGAGCAGAGGGGATATAGTGAATGGATTTTGGGAACGGACGAGAGGAAAATGAGGAGGAGTGGAAGAGGCATTTTGGGGAGGTGATGAGAGCAGTAGTAGGGAGATGATAGCAATGTGGGGGAGATGTACAAGTTTTGGGGTGGAGCAGAGGGGTAAAGAAATGAGATTTGGGAACAGAGGATAGTAAATATGATAAGGAGAAGAGGGGCGTATTATATAAAGGTACACGGAGTGGGACTCAGGCATGTAAGAGATGTTTCCAGGGTGTATGCTTGCAGTCTGTCCAGCGTGCAGTAGAGTTTCTTGCTGTTGTTGTGTCTTCCTGCTGCTTAAGTTCTCCTGCTTAAGTTCAACTGCTGTGTTTAAACTGCTTCGCACTCCTTCAAAGCAGCACTCAATCAGAAGCAGCACCCCCATCAGAGACTGTGCCCCCCCATGAGCTGATCTAAATTTATAGGGAGATGTTCAAATGATAATTCAACTCCACCCCAATTAGAAGCTGATAAGGATCACATGAATAGTGGGGGATGTTTCTCAGGAAACAGACTAGTCATAAAACGGGTGCAGCTGGAGGTGAGAACTGGTCAACATATACACAAATATAAATACACCATTTGTTCTGAATTTAACAGGAGTCAATGCGTTTTTCTAGTTAAGAGCGGAGATAGGAGATAGATGCATTTACCCAGAGGAAAGCAGCAGGAGTCAATGCTGAAAGCAGTATTAAACCACTTCTCACAATTGTTACTTTTAAAGGCATGCCATGAACAACAGCTGTCAGTGGCTTGTGTTCTCTATTGAATCACTGATCACATGTGCAGTACCATGGTAACTGCAGACAAAACAGAGACCAAGATGGCAGATTCCTTGGCTGTAAACAATTGGAGGGTTTAGTTCCACTGTAGATATGCAACACGATGAGGTTTTTAATCAGCTTAAAAAGGTCTCTGCAAACAAGGCTGATGCTTCACATTTTTGTGGATAAATGACAAGCAAGATCAAAGTACTGCCTGTAAGCCTTGGTCATCCTCTATTAGCACATTGACAAATGTCAGCAGAGCAATCATTGGTTACAATAATTTATACACTCATGCACCATCTCATTCAGAATATGTTCAGAAGCAACCTATGAATATGGCACAGTCATACCAATTCCTGTTTGCACTAACTCAACATTGTCCTATCTCAATGCTATACTAATATGTTATCTAATCAGATCTTTCTTCCTCCCTGCACTGCAAGGTAACTTCAGAAGGTAAATTGCAGTCTTAAAACCAAAAACCAAACATTACAGATCTTCTGATGCAACACTTAATGTAACACCAAAGAGAACATATATGAAGACACAAAACAGTAATGCAAAAATAATTTAATTACAATTACAGATAATAAATGTTGTTCAACAGCATAGGCAAAACAAACATGTACGGTAAGTGCACACTGATATTAAGGATGGTACCTAAAAGCAGTCAGAAGTAGATCTTCCCATATGGATCACTTTTCAGAGGGCTGTAAAGCAGAGGCTATTAGGCATACAGGCGATGTACAGTCTCCAAACACGACTACAGAATTGAATCGGCACCTCTGCTGCTCGTTTCGGTTTTCTTTTGGTTTTGTTTTTTTAAATCAGTGAAGAACTGCAGCAAGGGCTAAACAATTCTTTTAAGTACAAGCTCTGCTTGGGGAGCCAGAAATGTAGATTACAGCAATGTTAAGAAGGTGTTGGACAGCAGGAGAGCTTGTGTAAGAGCAGTGGTCTGACTGTGCTGACAGCACTGGGTATGACCACTGCAACAGCACGTGTCTGATAAAAATTTTAAAAGAAGGCATATTTACTACTGTATATAAAGCCTGACTGTAATACAGTAATAAACAAAGAGGTTTAAATTGTTACATGGATACAATATTGAAATCTTGTTGCACATTCACATGCGTAATCCCATTTATAAGACTGGGTATTGCTGGGCTCTTTTGTGTAGTAGATTTTTTTTGTTTTTGCTAACACGGTCTGCACTTGTAAAAACATTAGCTGCTTATAAAAGCTATGGTAGAGGGCATTTTTGGTAAAAGCAAGTTACTTCACTAATGCCCAGTGCAAAAAAAAAAAAAAAAATACTGTATATATATTTATATTAATAATAAAATATCCAAAAATGGAAAGTGGACATACAAGATCTGCTGCCTGTTGAGTTTGGGATTACAATGTGTTCAGATGACATAATTGAACTGTACCAGTGTGTAAGGAAAGATAATATAAAGCTCCTCTTCATGCCTGAGAAGGCAGTGAAAGCTTTGAGGCTTCTTTTGGCCAAAACCTCAGGCTTAAGTGTATAGGGGTTTAGTCACTACTGAGTTCTGTAAACAGTGTTCTTTCAGCACAGCTGAAAAGGATACAATGCCAGCGAGTGAAAATGAGACTAGAGCTCTATTTGCTGGTTGGCTAGAAGAGTACATAATATGAAATAGAACTTTAAAAATATTTGAGAGAAAAAAAAACAAAAAAAAAAAAACTGACCATAATAAACTGAACGCACGCACGCACGCACACTTCGAGTTAGCAATTAAACCTTCTATAGGCGAAGTAACAATGAAACTCCATGAGATGGAAGTTCCTGATGTATCTGTCGGAAAAAGCATGGAGCATTTGTTCCTTTCTTGGATTCTCCCTAAGCTGTTGTACAGTCTGGCTTGCAAGTATAGAATATCACGAATCTGTTCCTTGCAGTCAACTATTCCAAAGTAAGTTTTAGCTTCATTTAGATTTAAAATAGCCGATTCCAGGGCTGTGCAAAAGGATGAAAAAAAAAATGAAGAAATAAACACAAAACATCTGCAGAAACAAATAAGAGGTAATTTCTGCTTTTGCTGATATGATTACCCATTAACCCCAACTGAACTTTAAGTTTAACCACTTGCCCTCCTAAGGATTTACCCCCCTTCCTGACCAGGCCGTTTTTTTGCATTACAGCGCTGCGTTACTTTAAATGACAAATTGCAGTCATGCAACGCCGCACCCAGATGAAATTTACATCCTTTTTCCCCCCCACAAATTGAGCTTTCTTTTGGTGGTATTTGATTGCCTGTGCGGTTTTAATTTTTCTGCACTATAAGCAAAAAAAGACTGATAATTTTGAGAAAAAAATTATATTTGGAATTTTTGCTATTAAACATGTCCAGTAAAAAAAAAAAAAAAAAAAAAAAAAAAATCAAATTTAGTCATAAATTTAGGCCAAAATGTATTCTGCTACACATCTTTGCTAAAAAAAAAAAAAAAAAAATCCCAATACATGTACAGGTTTACATGAAAGTTATAACGTTTACAAATGGCGGTATAGATACTGCGAATTTTTTCTTTCCCCCCTACTAGTAACGGTAGCGATCAGAGACTTTAAGCGGGTCTGAGGCGGGCATTCTGACACTGGGGGGAAACAACTTGGAGTCACTGACATCCCCAGTGACACCAATACAGTGATCAGTGCTAAAAACCAGCACTGGCATTGTACTAATGACACTGGGCAGGAAGGAGTTAATGTGAGGGGCGGTCAAAGGGTTAACAGTGTGTAGGTAGTGTTTTACTAGGGTGCGGGGGACCCAGTGATTGACATCCGCAGCCGTGAATGGCGGCGCAGGTAGGGTGAGCATGCCCCCTACCCGGAAATGAAAAATCATGTATATATACACACCCGTGCCACCGTGTAGCAGTATATCTGCTATACGGCGGCAGGTAAGCGGTTAAATCAACTAAAAATACATGCCAGGTACATCATTAGTTCTTTCTTCTGAAAGCAGCCTCAGCCCAGGTAGAAAAGACAGTAACCCCAGACAGTATGTGCAGAGAAGGATCTTCACTATGTGGAAGCAGGGTCTCCCTGCAGAGGTCCAAAAAGCCCCTCTTCTTAGTCAGATCAGCAGTCCGCAGAACTCATGCTCCCTGCTGAATGGAGAGCTCTAGCTCTTTATTACAGGGGCATGTCAGACCTCAGGAAGGGGACAACTGCTTCCACACAAGACTATCTTTCTCTGCAACATGCTGGCAGGGGATAGGTTTTTCTACTCAGACTGTGGCTGTTTATAAAAGACAATAAACTGTAGGACTTGGCAAAAATATATATGTTGTCTTAAAAGCCTGTGCATTTTTATTTTTTTTTTTTCGTAACTAAGGATTTTGCAAGATGGTTGTAACTATACATCATTCTGGCCAGACAGAAACATTTAGCAATACTAATCATGTTCCACATAGTGGGAGAGGCTAAGAAATATTTTCGCCTATTACACTGACAAAGGTTAGGTTAAAATTATACATGTTCCTGGTTACGCTCTGTATTGCATAGAGTCCAAAAGCTGTCATATTTGCTAACAAGCCGACAGTTTTTTTTTCCCTCATTCGTTATACATTATGCATTAGCTGGATGAAAGCTTTGCCTTCTCAAAAAGATCAACTTTAATGATTTCACCCATTTATTGTTCACTTGTTTGGGATGCTGGAGTAAATTCATTCTCCTCGTATTTAATATGCCCCATCAATTTAAATTAAAAAGGTAAAGCAAAACATGTGGATTCAATTCTCAGTTTACCCAGTCCCTGCAGTAAAGTAAACTAAAATATGGAAGCAAGCCATGAGAACACGTAACAAGCTAACCTAGAAAATGCCGTGTATCATAAGGTTTCCTCTTCATACAGCATTGTAATGTGAAATGGTCTCAGACACCAAAGAAAGGACTTAAAAAGAAAAAAAAAAAAAAAGAAGGACGACCAGGATCCTCCGCAGAAGAAGTCAATTGGTAGATTGACTTCTGTCAAGCAGGTGCGACCTTACATAGATGAAAATTCAGCTGGTCCTTGCTTAACAGGCTGAATTTCGATCTATGGCCAGCTTAAAAGAGAAGTGTGGGATTGCTTTGCTTTTTTTTTTTATTATTATAAATCATAAAGCAAAGCAATCCCACACTTCTCTTTTAAGCTGGCCATAGATAGATCGAAATTCAGCCTGTTAAGCAAGGACCAGCCGAATTTCTATCTATGTAAGGTCGCACCTGCTTGACAGAAGTCAATCTACAAATTAACTTCTTCTATGGAGGATCTTGCGCCCTCCCCCCCCCCCCAAATCAGTTTGCTGGCTGATTGAAGAAGAATGAGTCATCTATGGCCAGCCTTAGGATGGAAAGCAAGTCAGTGGACATAATATAAATGCATTGTTTTGGGCTCCCGCTCAGCCAATGAGGAGGGAGAGTCCCTAGACAGCAAAGGTTGTCGAGAACATCGCTAGATCAGAGAGGGGGCTCAGGTAAGGATTTGGGGAGGGGGGGAGTTTTTTACTTTCCTGCATAGAATACATGGAAGTAAAAAACCTTGAGCCTTTAGAACCAATTTAAAAAGTGTATTCAAAATAAACACTTCAGTAGCTCAATGGGTGTTTGACACTATGCTTGAGAGGTAACAGCATCCTTCTGCTTGAACTGAAATAGAGCTATAAATCCTATGCATTTATGTATTCTATTCAACCCCCCTCCCAAAAAAAAAATAACGGACAAGAGCTATAAATATCAAATATTGCCATTACTTGCCATGACAAGAGTTTCAGAATGATTACCTTCTGTTTTCTTCTGAGGACTGTATGATGCAGCTGATGCCACTTGACATTTTGCAACAAGGAACATAGCCCGTCCCTTATCTAGTACTGCTCCATGAGCCAGAATAGGCTCTATTGCCATGTGCAGAATATTCAAGGCTTGCTCTGGGATTCCAAGCATCAGCTTAAAGAACAAAAAAAACAAACTATGAAAAGTTTTGTGTTTATTACACAAGAAATTAGCTGGTGTTATAATGCCAAACGTTTTGAACTAACAGAAGACCATTTTTTTAACACAACATCACAGAAACGATGCACACATTTTGAAGTCAAATTATTTCATACAGTAGAAAAGTTAAAAGGATTCTGCACAATCCTGAAACTCTCATAGCTTCTAAATCACACCTTTATTGAAAAAGGCTATTTCCACAAAAGCAATCTGATGCTCATTAGCCAAATAACTAGGGGTACATTGACAAGCTGACAGCTTAATCTGGTTTGGCTAAATGGAAACACCGGTCTTCTGTGAAGGTTTCTCTAGCCTCTGTAGCGTTCAGGTGCAGTGAAATTCAAACACTGTTCTTGCTAAGGAAAGCCATACCATAGCACAATCTAAGCATTTCCTTTGACAACTGGACCCTATGGGATAGATTTACTAAAACTGAAGCACTCAGAATCTGGTGCAGCCGTGTATGGTAGCCAATCAGCTTCTTCAATTAAGCTTTGGTAATAAAACCTGGAAGCTGACTGGTTTCTATGCAGAAGTGCACCTAATTTTGCACTCTCCACCTGTAGTAAATAAACCCTTATGTGTTTATCTAGGGAGAGCCAAGAACCGCTTTCAACTTGTCAGAATGTCTTTTTTACCCCACAGGCCCCCAATTCTATGCAAGAACTGTTGATCTGTTTTGTCTCTATAGATCCCAACAAGTTCACAGCTGTGCAGATCTCACAGCTCACCATTCTCAGTGGGATCTGTCTGCATGTAGCTCAAGGCATAAATTAGATGTAAAACTATTTGACTTTTGGTATCTTAGGAATACACTAAACATGTGTGAATGTAATGGGCCTAAACATTTGTTTTGCTCTTCTTAGGTTTATATAAAACTATAGTAACTATTTTGGCCTTACTTGTGAGAAAGCCAAATTCAGCACCGTCTCAGATGCCAGATACTGGAGGTGGTATTCCCTGGAGAGAGCAAGAGCTTGTAGCAGCACGGGCAGTGCCACTGGGTGACAGAAGGATCTCCAGTACAGCTCTGCTAGGGACAGAAGGACCCTGGAAATAAAAACACAACGTCATCTACTCAGCCATTGTTCAGCAATACAGGTCATTGTCTTAGAAAAGTGCCAAACAATTGCAAGGAAAACAAAGTGGCTCACATATTTCAAGAGTATGCATCAGACTCGAGTATAACCAATGTATGGAATAGCGGATAACCTCAGTCCTGCGATCAATTTGAAAAATCAGAGCATGTTATATTGAGTTTGGTTTGCACACGCAATATATAGGTCTCTGAACATTTATTCATTATTTTTGGTGGTATAACGGAATAAGGCAGCACAATAAGCAATATTGTGCAAGTTGTAGTTCACAGCTAAGCGCTAAATTGCTTCCTTATTGCAGAATACAATTATAGGCTGCATTTGTTTTCTTAGGCATCAAGCCAAATATTACAGTATCACTACAGAACACACAATATCCCCAAAGATAACTTTACAAAGGAAAAAAAAACCACATTACTACAAAACTGGAAAATATTCTGTTTAAAGCTGCTGACTTTAATAAAAACATAAATCGCTGTCTTCCTACAACTTTCCTTTACCACTGCGTTTAATCCTGTGCCACCATTTTGGATTCAGGAGCAGACTGGAACTTCCTAAACAGTCAGAGCTGGCCCCCTGCTACGCATATGCAAGATGTGCGGACTGGAGGAGACTGTCCCAAAGCCTCCTGGGAGGTGTAACAAGATTCACCCCCTTCAACTTACCAAACTCCTATCTTAATCCAGCCCTATGCTGCTGCCCTTTTACTCTCCTCACATGAGCAGCGGAAGCCATTCGCTCCTGCTGCTGTCAATCTAATACTGTGAGGAGGGAGCAGGGACAAGCTCACTGTGTATGTCTATGGAAGCGAGCCCACCGGTGTGCCATCATAGGAAATGGCTTCCAATGGTGGCCCACGGAAAAGAGGAGGAGCCTACAGGACTTCCAGGGGATCTTCCAGGGAAGAGGAGATTTTGGACAGCTCTGGGCAATACCAAGGAATGAGAGCAGGGAGGGGAGAAAAGTTTGCATTCCTTTTCTGTCTGTCACTTTTGTGACACCCATGTCATGTCTGTTCAGTCATTCACTTCGGCACCAGTTCATCAGGGGATCTGTTCATGGATCCCGAAAGGAATGGAACAGACTGCGCTCATATAAAAAAGTACCCTAAAACCAACTCAGCAGAAACTTAAAAAAAGACAAAAACAAAAAACAGGATTTGTCACAAAAGATACAAGAGGACATGATATAGAACAGTTTAAATAAAATTATATTCAAGTATGTATTCTTAACTCCAAAAAAACCTATTGCTCTCAGCTTCCTCCAAATCTAGAAATTCCTTTTTTTTTTTTTTTAATAAACCAAAATCCTGTTAGAGGGTGGCTACCACCGGTCTTCATGGCTGCACTGTGTGATGTAATGTAGCCACTTTCTCTTGCTCACTCCTAAGATGGACTAGGATCTTTGTGATTTGTAGCGTACATAGAGAAGTGGACAGGACAGCAACTAATGTGTACTGCTTGTTCAAGAGGGAAAAGGAGAGGATCAAGGGCTCACAAAAGACATTATAGGGAGGCAGAAAAACATTTGGCATGAAACCAATTTCATGAAAAATAGAATACAGGGTCATTGGGTATTGGATGTGTATAGATGATTTTTGGAAAGAGGGATATCATTTAGAGTCTCTAAATTACACCAGTGCTTTAAAAATGAAAAAGGATGAGTAAAATTTTGCAGCACAGAATGACATCCAAATAGCAAAATGTGTTGAAAAGCACCCCATGAGAACACCTGACAGTGAGTCACCACTCCCTACATACCTTATAACCATCTCGATGTTCTTTACTTTCTGGCAGTGAGTTAGCAGCACCTGAAGAATTTTATGAGCTTCTGCTGTTTGGTTTTGAGCTTTGAGAACAATTGCTTTCCTGTAAATAAAAGACAATGGTACACAGAAAGGTTTTCTTACATACAGTGCCTGGGGCTTACAACTAATAAAATGACTCAAAAGCAGGATGTGTTAAGAAAAGCTAAAAACGGCCATCTGAACATATGATAAAGGATACCCAACAGTCATATGTATTGTATTACATTTACAGTATGGTCTACAGGGAGACTCACTTGTATAGAACACTTTATAGAAGGAATATCAATGCAGAGGACAGAGCTATTCATTTTATCCGACTGAATTTGCGTAGCTAATTTTATGGCATAGGTAGGGATATTTTTGTCTGATTCACGTCAAAAATAGCTACAACCAAAATAGAATAGATAAGCTGCCCCCCCTCATACCTGTACAATCCTTCCACACTGTCAAGAGCAGTAATTCCTGTCACAAGTGATTCGGTCAGGTGATACTTCCCATCATTCATAGCTCGGTTAAACTGGATTTTCTGATCAAACAACATCCAAAGCTGGAAGAGAACAAGTTAAAATAATAGTGTTGCAAACCAAATATATTGCATTGGGCCTAAATTGGCTGTAAAGGATCTTTTTCCCCTAAAATAACAAACATGTTATACTTACCTGCATGACCCGAGTGACCCTGAACTTCCTTCTGGGGTCCCCTGTCGGTGTTCTCAGCTCATCCTCTTCTGTGAGTGTACCCATAGCAAGCTGCTTGTTATGGGGGCACACCCGAGGGCTTGCTCCCGAGTCGGGCTGTGCGCGTCCACAGACGCACACATCACGGCTTAGCCCCCCCCCTTCCGCTTCCACCTCACAGGCCAACGCTGTCACGTGATTGAAAGCCCATCCCACCAGCTACAGATCTTTACCCTGGACCAAGGGCTGTCTTTGTGCTGAAAGCAACAATCAGCTAATAGTGATGAGCAGGCTAAAACAAACACTGTGCTTACCTTTGCATGTTGGCAGCCAGGGGGAAATCTCTCCTTTAAATGTTTCAATATCTCAGAAGCAGCAGAAAAACAACCCTGCAAATGTAAGCAATTATACTTAATGTACGGTATATGGAAACCATAACATTGAACTGGTCTTTCATGTTCTCATTTTGTCTGTGAAATATACCATTTAATAAAAGCAAAATATAGGATTTTTGTAGTCACTGTGAAATCCTTTTGTCCATTGAGGGACACAGCTTTATAGTGAAAGGGCAAAAAAAAAAAAAAAAAAAAAGCGGAAAAAAAACAAACAAACCCCACAACCAACCAATTCTACTGTCTACAGGAGAATGGACACTAGGCACATCAAACTTGAAGGCCAGCACTCCAAATCTGGCCATACAGGTATAGTTTTTCATTCAAGAATTTTCGTTTCAAGAATATTCGTTTGATTTTCTATTAGTGAATTTTCGTTTTGTTAGGGGGGGGGGGGGGGGGGGGGGGGGGGGGGGGGGGGGGGGGGGGGGGGGGGGGGGGGGGGGGGGGGGGGGGGGGGGGGGGGGGGGGGGGGGGGGGGGGGGGGTGTGGTCAAACCAATGTTTGTTTGCAACTGCAGTGATGGGAAAATTCAAAGGGGCGGGAAGGAAAAAAACTTCTCAATCAAACAAATTTTCGGTCAGTGTATGTGGTTATCGTTCAGAATTTACATTCATTTTAAACTCAAATGTTAAAAGCAAAAGACAATTTTTGAACAACACTCGTCGATTCACCAAATGTTCAAAGAATTTTCGTACGACTTTTCATAGGAATATTCTCGTCCACAAATCTACATGTGTATGGGCAGCTTAAGTCACCGTCCACACCGCTGTGATTTAAAATCGTGCGATTAGTGTGCAGTTTCAGCGAGATTTCAGGTACGATTTCTGAAGACTTTATTGCTACTTGTGAAGATTTTCAAAAAATTCCTGCAATTTGTAGTGTGATCTCCATTATATTCTATGTATGTGAAATTGCAACAAAAATGGCAGAAAAAGTAATGCAAGAACTACTTTAGAAAACGCACGTTAAGACAATGACATTCACATTCATTAGATGCGATTTCAATTCGCAAACATGTGAGATTGCAACAAAAACGGCAGAAAAAGTAATGCAAGAACTACTTTAGAAATCGCACGTTAAGACAATGACATTCACATTCCTTAGATGCGATTTCAATTCGCAAATCGTACCCCCACAACCAACCAATTCTACTGTCTACAGGAAAATGGACACTAGGCACATCAAAATGAAGGCCAGCACTCCAAAGCTGACCATACAGGTATAGATTTTCATTCAAGAATTTTCGTTGCAAGAATATTCATTTGATTTTCTAATCGTTAGTGTGGTCAAAACGATGTTTGTTTTTGACCGCAGTGACAGGAAAATTCAAAAGCGCGGGAAGGAAAAAGCTTCAACAAAAACGGCAGAAAAAGTAATGCAAGAACTACTTTAGAAATCGCATGTTAAGACAATGACATTCACATTCATTAGATGCGATTTCAATTCGCAAATCGGACCAGTGTGACTGGGCACTAAAGGCTATAACACTTCCCATTTCACACCTCACTTGTAGCAAGCAGTGTTAAAGAAGAAAGAGGGAAGGAGTGCTGCATTGCCCCAACAGAGATAATAACATTTTGGAATCTCTGTACAATCAATTTCTCAACCAAGCAATTAGGGACACAGGATTATGGTAATAAGCAAAAGTAGGCCAAACAGAAGGGGCAGACACACCAAAAAACATAGGTGGAATCAGCCCCCCTCCCGAAAAAAATAATCCAAAGCAAGGGCATTAAACTGCTGTTTGCAGAACTTTTTGGGCAAAACTAGAATCTGCAGATATAGATGCATGAACCTAGCAAAACGTAGAGAACATGTGAACAGATAACCAGGTTACAGCCATACACACAAAAACCCGATGACAAAACATCCAAAAATAACTTACTACTCTAGTAGTGTAGTAACAACAGAAGCCGGTCTAATGACGGGGCAAAAAAAAAAAAAGTGTATTCCCAGCTTAACAAACCTCTGTGAATGACCAATGACCTCAATGAATTCAGCCGGAAACAAGGATGAAACTTCAAAGCAATTAGATAGCCAGGTCCCACCCATCTTAGGACATATAAAGTTGTATTAGAAGACCTCAGTCAGAGCATTCTTTTGAATCCAATACTTTGTCTTTTGTTGCTTTCTCTGCATGCTTGTATAATAATAATTTTATTATTATTAATAATACATAATATGTAACAACATCTACATTTCAATTGGCTTCAGTAGTCAAAATGTTACAGAAACACCAAGAGTTTGGGTTTCCCTGTCACTATATTCAAAGAAAGATGATAGGAAGCTGAATTTTTACCTTATAATTTAAATTTGAAACTCACCTGCTCGGCGTGCAGTTCTGCAAGGTGACACAAAACTACAGCAAACGGCTCAGTATTGTTCTGCTGGACGTTCACATTAACAGCATCAAGGCTGTTCATAGTAAGGAGCATCTGTGCCTGCTGCAAAGCCATAGTGCTGTAACACAAAGACACAATATCACCTTCAAGGCTTGTGGTTGTATTATGTTGGACTACTGCACAGAACTGAAAGAAATACAAAGGATAGCAAAATGCAAATAAGAACGAGCTTATCTGTATTTTGATTTCTTTACGGGGATATCAGCTTTAACTTCTGTACGGTTTCCCCCTAACATGGCCATGCGCTTGCATATCCACTCATGTGACTCTGGTGTTGTAAGGCCACAGATTCAGCTTTCACTAGGTTTACAACTGACCACAATGTTTCAACCCACTTACATGCCAGCTAACTTCAGGACTTTAGCAGCCAACTTAAGCTTCAGTTACGGCACAACTAGATTTCCTATATGCTTGAACTGATAATCAGTTCAATCTTGCCACCATAGCTTGGCCATTTTGCCACCATGTGAAGCTGAGCACAACTTCCAGCCACTATGTGACCTATTTTAATTCTTTATACTCCCGATGAAGCTTTTTTTTTTGGAGAGAAATATGTAGATTTTCGTTGGGAGCACTTTTTGAATGCACGTGGTATATACTCCTCCCCCCCCCCCCCCTTTTTTTTTTTGGAGATCTGTACTGCACTTTATCATTTGCATTCCTCAAGACAGTGAGGTGTTTTTGACTGGATATGGTGATGTATGGGGCTTATCCATTAGAGGCTAACATTAAGCCCCGTGGATGAGTGTGCCTGCATTACATATCTGTAGCAAGACAGATTATATTATCCAATTAATTTTGTCCATGGGGCAACGTAATTTTCCTTAATAGAGATTATACATTCAAGCTGATAGGCTTATAATCAAACTACAGTGTCTTTTTCATGCCGTCACTTCATCTAAAACAGTATGGTATTTGATCTGGTCTGGTGTTATTAACCATTTGGATGTAAGGTAAATAATTGTAATGGTACCCAGTCATATTGTTGTACGCAGTACATTCCACTCCAATTGGCATTAATTACAGCTTAGCATACATTTTAGATATATCTGAATAAAGGTTATATTTTAGGTTCATCAATTGGCTAGATGGCCTCGTCCAGCACAGTCTTGCAACCTAGCCTAGATAAATTATGATAAAAAAAAAAAATATCTATAGGGTAGTCATACCTCTGACCATACAGTCTCCATACTGCCGTCTTTTGAGCAAGGCTGATGTCAATCAGATCAGATAAACTGTGTTTCCAGTGAAGTAGGTCTGAATCTTTCAAGGCATCCATCAGTTTATCGGCAGTCTTACCGGCTATAGCTCTTTGCTGAACTAAAGACTGAATGCCAAGAGAGGCCAAATACTAGCAAAGACAAAGAAATATCACTATGGATATGTACCGATTCAAAGCAGAGAATACACACAGGAGATAATGCCTAAACAATTTAGAGCACGGGTGTCAAACTGGTGGCCCTCTAGCTGTTGCCAGACTACAAGTCCCATGAGGCAGGTACATGATGACAGATACAAGCATGACTCCCAAAGGCAGAGGCATGATGGGACTTGTAGTTTCACAACAGCTGGAGGGCTGCCAGTTTGACACCCCTGGTTTAGAGTCTTCAAGAAAACTGGATTTAAAAGGATAAACACATGAGATAAAAATAATTATTTTGCTTCCTTTACCTGAGACTAAGGCTCCATTCACACACAGGGGTATATTTACTAAAGCTGCAGAGTGCAAAATCAGGTGCACTTCTGCACAGAAACCAATCAGCTTCCAGGTTTTATTGCCAAAGCTTAATTGAACAAGCTGAGGTTAGAAGCGGATTGGCTACCATGCACAGCTGTACCAGATTCGGAGTGAACCAGTTTTAGTAAATCTCCCCCATAGGCGTTTCAAATTGTGGGTGGAATTTCCGCAATTCTGCCTGCAATTTGAAAACCCGCTGTTAAAATTGTGAAAAGATGTGTTAGCATGTTCAGGTGCCATTTATTTCAATAGCACTTGAAAACACGGGGCATTTTTGCCATGATCGCAGTGCATTTTTGTTACTCAAGAAACGCACTGCAATCTTGCAAACAAAATTGCGGGATGCGCAACGCCCAAAAAGCGTCCCATGATTCTGTTTGCACACTTGTGGCGCATTTGTCGCAGGAAAATAACACACCGCGATTGCAGCAAAAACGCCCTGCATTTTCAGGTGCCATTGAAATGAATGGCACCTGAACATGCTAAAGTGCGTTTTCACAGTTTAACGGCGTGTTTTCAAATTGCGGGCAGAATTTCAGCGATTCTGCCCGCGATTTGAAATGCCTGTGTGTGAATGGAGCTTTAGTGTTTTCAGTATCACTTAGCCTAGTGAATAAGGTAAAGCTGTACAGACTTCAATCATTGAGGTAGCAGGTGAGGGATGTAAAGAGCATCGAGGCTGCAGAAAGAGCAATTGCCAAAAAAACTCATGCCTTGTGATCTCAGCCAGCCAACTGTTAGCAATGGGGTACATCTAACAGCTTCCCAATATTTGATATAATCGGGCAGGACACTTGATGCCAGCTCAGGACAAGAGGGGGGAAAGGGAAAAAAAAAAAAAAAAAAAAGTATTTGAAAACTAGTTTCCATTGCCTATTTGTAGTAAAGCAGCTAAGGTGTGAAAAAGAGGTAAGAACCTCCATCCGGTTTCCATCACAGTTAGTTTCCCCTTAATTTCAGTGTGGTCACCAGGACAGGAAGTTTACTGAATCCTTCCAACCAGGACACAAGCAGCAACATGAACATTTTTCAAAAAGTGGAGAAAGGTTAGAATCTCCCATCAGCATTTTGTCATCTACGTTTCCCTTTGGACCCATTCACAGGAATGCATAGTGGTGATGCACATGCAATGAATTAAGCAGCTTAATAATGAAGTATGTGCTGCCATGTCACTACAAAAAATATAAAGACATACCCCATTTTCATCCAACAAACTGCACCACAACGCACAGATGGTTTCATATCTGGTGTGTTGTGATGTGATGTACAACAAAACACATTGTTATTCACTGGCCAGATGCATTAGACATTCAGAATGATTGGCTCCACAATGAACTATGCTTTATGCATTGTAGTACTGCTTGTTACTGAAATGCACTCGTATGAACGAGCCAAAAAGGGAGCTTCCCTTTACTTTCTATGTAGTCATAACAAAAAGCCCAGGACACTCTTCAATACTATCACAGACAGCAATAACAACAGTTATTCTAACTCAAGGTAACTTTTTCAAAATGAAACAAATTTTCACTGAAGTTGCATTTAAATTTTAATTGTTATGGAGAACATAATTAAGAGTTAGAGAGTAAAATTATTGTGAAGTCGGGTTTCACACCTTCGCAGTGTGTTAAAGCAGTAAGTATGTTAATATGAAAAAAAAAAAAAAAAAACCCCACACACGACACACAAGGCCCACTTTATCAAACTGCTTACCGGAAGTCCAAAGTGGACAGCTTTCTTTATAGAGTGCTCCAATAAGATACTGCTGTCTTCCCCCTTTCTGTTCTTCAGGATATACAGCCAAATCTGAAGAAAACATCACACAAGACACTCAGAGGCTTGATAAGGTCCAACTTACTTAGTGAAACAAGTTGATGATGTGTACCATGTCTTGTAGTATTTATGAAAATCTAAAAGACGGGGAACAAAAAAAAAAAAAAAAAAAAAAAGAAAGAAGGTTTGGGGATGGCCCTTCCTGTTCCAACAGGAATGCACACCAGTGCACAAAGCAAGGTCCATAAAGACATAGATGAGTGAGTTTGGGGTGGAGGAACTTGACTGGCCTACACAGAGTCCTGACCTCAACCCGATAGACTACCTTTGGGATGAATTAGAGCAGACACTGCGAGCCAGGCCTTCTCGTCCAACATCAGTGCCTGTCCTCACAAATGTGCTTCTGGAAGAATGGTCACACATTCCCATAGACACACTCCTAAACATTGTGGACAGCCTTCCCAGAAGAGCTGAACCCGTTAAGGGTGAGCCAACTCAATATTGAACCCGACAAACCAAGACTGGGATGACATTAAAATTCATGTGCATTCAAGGCAGGCTTCCCAAAACGTTTGGCAATCTAGTGTATGTATTCTCTGAAAGCAGAGATCCTGGAGAATAAGTCTATGGTAGCTCCAATGTTTTATGTCACACAATATTAGCATAAGGATTTATCAAAAAGCAAATTTTCTCTGAAAAATAAAGATAGTTCTAGTGCATTTTTTGTTAAAATATAAAAAGAGGAGCTAAGTAAAGACTCAACATATCAAGCCTTAAAAGGAGAAGTACACTCAACACTCTTTTGGCTGTACTTCTCCAGTGGATCACAGGAGTGCACTCCTGTGCAGACAGCAGTAACTGACAGTCACCACGCTCTGCTCACAGCAGCAGTGAAAACTCAGCGATCGGACCGATGCTGCATGCACCTGCGCGAGTATACCATGGACAAACTTCGGTATCTAAAATTTTCTATAGGTGATGCTTTAAAAGTTCTTACAGATGATCTCTTTAGAATAAATCATGGCCCTATGGAATTACTGGTCTCACTCTGAAGAGTTTGGAAAAATTCAAAATTGCTCTATATTCCCTTGATAAGTCCACTCCGAGGCACATGCAGTACACCTTCTAATACCAGCAACAATGTGAATGGTGGCGTTGTGCAATACTCCGGTATTCCTGAGAAAAACACAGCTCTTGGGTGACATACCTTGCAGTTCATGTGAATGAATGTTTGTTTAGACACCCCATTACCCCATGAGGTCTGGCCTGCATAAATTAACTGCCGTCTTCTGTCTCTTGCGGACTTCAGCACAAAATAAGCACCAACGTTATTGAAAATATACAGTAAATCTCAACATACCAGACAGTGCTGCAGGCAGACATGATCACTTGATTCTTGTGCTATCCTTATTGCCTCCTGGAGAGCAAGTTCTGCTTGATGACTAAAATTGAAAAATGACACAATGACATGACAAATACTACAATATCCGCAGCACAATTCTATACCTAGCATAGTCACCCTACTAAACAATGTGCCTGTGGATACACTTTGCTGGTAGAATTAAAGTAAATACATTTTTACTTTGAACAGTGTTAGGTTTAACAATAGGGTTATTGTATATAAATTAGTACCAATTTATTTAATTTGTATAAAATTTATTCTATAAACCGGTCCAGTTTAAAAATGGCATTAAAATTATGATTCTGGTACAGTTATCTACAAGTTATATATGGCTGTATACGGCTACCCTAGTGCTAGGCATTTTACACCTCAGCGCACAGGAACTAGTAAGCGTCTGTATGCATAAGGCGATACATGTCTGAATAATTGTTCGCAAAGGAGATCGGCACAGTCTTAGCAGTATTTAAGGGTTTTCCTTGGAAGTAATTAAGCTCAGAAGCTGCATTAAAAATCTATGCTTAACAAATATGAAAATACATACTAGTGCCCAAAGCGACAATGTAGGGAAGCCAAGTTGAGTGCCGCATAACGCAGGCTCCTCCCATAACCTTCATCCCCGTTACTTTTACTCTCAGCACCAGTGAGGATCAAGCGGTCAAAGTAATGCAGCAAGCTGTGTGTTGAACTGAATACATCTTGGACACGCAAGCTATTTAAATAGCTTAAATAATGCTAAAAGATAAGAAAAAAACCCCACACATTAAAAATTGGAAGACAGATAAATGCTTTAAGTTTAAAATATTTTTTGATGCCTATAGGAAGGCTGGAAGGCGATATATTCTGCAGCTCCAGTAGCCATCAGCTTGACTTGAGTGTCTCTTCTTTCTACGTTGCATGTCATTTTTATAATCACAACAAACACACAAAAATAGGACTCACAGCTTCTGCAAAGTCTGGATTGAACTTCAATAAATTGTTTAGCTCTTTCTGTAGTAAGACTGGTGACAGAGCCTTACTTTCATCATTCTTCAGCAATGAGGCCTAGAAAACAAAAAATTACTGATGAGTGGATAGGGATTTTCAGTGACTGCTGGAAGCATGATCATGTATTTACCAATTAACTTTGTTATTTCTAGAAAACTAAAGTGAAAGGTTTCTGAGTGATTCTCTTGTGTAAAGGATAGAAGCAGCACAGAAGAAAAAGGACAAACAGAGGCCAGGTGTATTTCAGAATGTACAGGTTCTAAAATAAGAACTCCTCCAATTTGTTGTGTTCAAAAAGTGGAAAGCCTCCAAGACCCCATTTCACATTTTTTTCAGTTTGACGCTCAGAAACGCTCAACAAGGAAAATCCCATTCATGTCAATGCCCCTGCTCATATTTAAACGTTTTGTCGCCTGTAGCAAAACGCATGTCGCTTAAAAAAGTACATGTGCTACTTTTCAGGCAGATTTGAGCTTTTCTGTCCCCACAGACTTGTCATAGAATGGAAAACAAGCAAGCCTGAACTGCAAGAAATGAGCATTTTTGAGTATATTTTCAAGCGTTTCAGCTCAACTAGCAGCCCCCCTCCTTTTCTAAGATCACTCCACACCTTATAAACCCACATCAAAATTGAAAGAGTCTGCTTCTGGAAACTGAGACATTTATTGCTCTCATTCAAGGCCACCCCCCTGCATCTATGATCCTAGGAATCCCCATTATAAGAGTCAGACAAGAACCACCAGAGTCTGGGAGGAAGTGGGATGAAACTTGCTGCCCCAATGGAACAGCTACACTGCTCCCAGATCAAGGAGAAAGGTACAGAACTTCTGTGTACAGCAGACATGTGCTTGATTCTGGTTTTCCTGTTGTATGTGCTGAGGACACAACACAGTTTTTTTTTGGCCATAGAAAAAAAAACATCTAAATAAAAAAATGCTTGGAAAAAAAAAAACCAAAAAAAAAAAAACGAAGGGGTATAATAAAAATAAGTTGGCACAAATAACAAAATAACATGTGATCAGTGAAAGCAGCAGCATTCTCTAAAACCTTTACTTTAATTCACCTCACAGTATAGTAAGCATCAAACATCCAGCGCTAAGACTCACTCATCTTGGAGTAGAGTGGTTGTAGCAGGTCACTTGCTCTACACTTCGTCCGTGGAAAAAAATGTATAGCATTCTTTTCACAGAGTGCAAGCCGTTGAGTGACTGGAGGAGAGGAGAGCATGACATTCACCCACAACTCCTCCATTCACACAACACCTTGCATTCTGTGAAAAGAATGCAAGACATTTTCTCAATGGACAAGTTGCTGAGTGAGCAACCAGCTTTAGCCAGTGTACTTGATGGAATTGAAATTCTCAGCACCAGGACGTTCGTTTGGTTGACACAGGCACCTTTTAGGGAACACTTTGCATTATCCTTTGAATGCAAAGCATTATCTGACTGGACAAGGTGAAAATCATGAAGTCACTGCACCACCTTTGCATCTCATTCAGAGAATGTTCAAGCATGCTTGAGAAAGTGTTCTCTGAATGGCCCCCTGTGCCAAGAAAGTGACCTCTAGTGGGGTCAACTACAGTGATTGCCAGCTTCCATGGGGACTGGCCAAGTATGGCACACATATAATTATATTAGTCCAAGCAATAAACAGCCATACTTGGAATTCAGCTTTAAAAGAAACCTAAAGTTTGAGAAGAAATACTATTAAAAAGTTGTGCCATTATGTTTCAAGACAAAAAGACAGGAACAGGACAGAATGCATGACCACTGTAAAAATGTGTTTCAAAAACAACAAAATTGTAAACCATTATGGAAAATTATGTTTTGTTTTTTTTTCTTCTTCAAAGAAACAGACTAATATTTTACAAGCTTTCCTTTTCAAAATGCCGATTACGCCATACCTGCTGAGAAAGGAAATATTCCGCCTGTTTTTGTGACAAAGGTCCACTGCAAGCTAGATCATCTTCTCTGTTGTATACAAAGAAACAATTGTGTCATTAAGAATGAAGTCAATGTCACCTTTTTGTAACACAAAATGCTCATGTAAAAATCACACACACACTGTACAAAAGTCGATTGAGAAATTGACTTGTGTATTGACCAGCCTCCCCATCTATGGCAGGCTTAAAATGACTGTAAATCCTTACCCTCTAAAACAACCCATTCAGTTTAACCACTAGCCTACTGGGCACTTATACCCCCTTCCTGCCCAGGCCAATTTCCAGCTTTCAGTGCTGTCACACTTTGAATGACAATTGCGCGGTCTGCAAAACTGTACCTATATGAAATTATCATTTTTTTGAGACAGAGAGCTTTCTTTTGGTGGTATTTAATCACCTCTGGGATTTTTATTTTTTCTTAAACCCAAAAACCACTGAAAATTTTGAAAAAAAAAAAAAGTTTTTTCTTAGTTTTTGTTATACAATTTTGTAAATATGTGATTTTTCTCCTTCACTGATGTGCGCTAATGAGGCTGCAGCGATGGGCACTGATAGGCTGCACTGATGGACACTGATAGGTGGCACTGATGAGGAGGCACTGGTAGGTTGCATTGACAGGCATCACTGATGGGCACTGAAAGGCAGCACTGATACATGACACTGATATGGCACTGATAGGCGGCACTGATACTGATAGGCAACACTGACTGGCACTGATAGGTGGCACTGATTGGCATTGATAGGTGGCAATGACTGGCACTGATGGGTGACATTGAGAGGCAGCTCAGATGGGCACTGATATGTGGCATTGATGTGCACTGGTATGCACTGATATGTGGCATTGATGTGGCACTGGCATGTGGCACTGACAGGTGGCACTTCAGGGGCCACACTGATCATCAGGGCACACTGATCATCAGTGCCCTGATGATCAATGTACATGTCCCCTCCGTGGAAAGCCGATTACCGGCTCTCCTCTCCTCTCGAGCTGTCAGCGTGACAGCTCGAGAGGAGAGAAATGCTGATAACCGGCATTTCCGTGTTTACATGTGATCAGCTGTGATTGGACACAGCTGATCACATGACCGAGCTGACATCTTCGGCTCTTTCTGCGATCGCCGCTGCGCGCTCCCTGAGCCGCGCGCATGTGCAGTGAGAATGGTAGGACGTCATATGACGTCCTATCAGAACGAGAGAACCACCTTGTGCCCGTCATTGTACTATAGGGCAGGCGGAAGGTGGTTAAAGAAGTAATGAAAGACAAAACATGTTTATAGATATATAACAAAATTATATACACTTTTCCCCTTTTTATAAGCAATTACATTCCCTCTGTTATCAGCTGCATAAGAGCTGGGGGAGGAAAACCAGCAGCACATAGATCTTCCCTGTGAAAGGCTGAGTTGTGAAAACATGGGGCTCTGTTATCCACATATATGACACAGAACACACACCACCTGCAATGGTTAGCTTTGATGTCTTTTGGGATTACTGCAGGTCAAAAATCTGATGTGGAACATAAGCTCTACTGCAAAATGGTGTGCATCTAAAAAGGACATGAAATATTTGGTGGCTTACACCATTTTGGGTCTTTCACATCTGGACTTTAAACATAAAATGTAACCAAATTTATTTGATGTGTTCTAGAGAAAACATAGCTATACTAGGACCAAAAGCAGCCACACATCTCTGATAATTAACTAAACTTGCTCATGGCATGGGAAGACACAGAATGAGATGTGATCTAAAATATCCTCCCCAAAGAACAAAAAAATGTTATACTTATATATATTTACAATGACAATAAAGGATCAGTAAGCTAAAAATCATTGTAGATACTCAAAGGTCTTGAAACTTTAAACATTAAATGTTAGCTTGTAATGAAAAAGAAGAGATAGAAGAAGAGATAGATAGATAGAAGAAGAGATAGAAGATTACCCGATAGCAAAATCAAGATCTTCTTTTGACATCTTTCCACCTTCATCTGCTTCTTCACCCTCTTCTTCATCACTGTTGCAGAGATCCATTTCTGCCTCTTCATTTTCTGGCTTTGTCTTGGCCTTATCACTGTGGTAGTAACGATGCAGTGAGGTATGCAGCTTGTATACCTGACTGAATGAAAGTTTATTGTAGGCCAAGATCATGTGACGAAGGAACAGTCCTAAAAGCAGGAATTTTATATAATCAAAATGGTTTTGAAGATGAAACTCAACATAAAGAATGTTTTTTTTAAGCAATAGCAACAGCCATGGCTTTGATATATGTTCATTACACAACAATAACTTGCATTGAGCATCTGGATTTAGTATACCAGCTACATTGATGTTCCCCAACACTTCCCTTGCCTGGAAACTAACATTAACCCATGTTTTGGCCATGGAGGAGAAGTAACATTCACTTTAATACGGGCCCCAAAGCAGCTTAACCACTGCAATACCGCACAGGCCAATTTTCAGATTTCAGCGCTGTTGCACTTTGAGTGACAATTGCGAGGTCATGCAACACTGTACCAATATGAAATGTTTATAAATTTTTTTTCACATAAATAGAGCTTTTTGGTGGTATTTAATCACAGCTGAGAAAAATCTGTTAAAAAATCTTGCAAATAAATAACTTTTTTTTCATAAATTTAGGTCAAAATGTATTCTGCTACACTTCTTTAGTGAAAATAACCCAAATCCGTGTATATTATTTAGTATGTAGGAAAGTTATAAAGTCCACAAACTATGGTATATACCTGAAAATCCTGATGTACTGACAGCCTCTCATTTCTTGAGGACCGAAAACGCCAGGATAGTACAAATACCCCCCAAATAACCCCTTTTTTGAAAATAGACAGTCCAAGGCATTTAGTAAGAGTCATGACGAGATTTCTGAAGTTGTAATTTTTGTGTCACAATTTTTTGGAAAATGAAAAAAAAAAAAAAAGTTTTCATATATTGCCACTAGTCCAACACAGCACTGTCATATAACTGGCGTCAGGGACACTGACTGGTGACAATATGTAAACATTTTTATTTCTTAAATTTTTAATAATTTTTTTTTTTTTTTAAACACACTGTGACCAGAGCAATACAGTGTTCAGTGTTACCATAGTAACACTGTACTACTCTGGGGAAGTGATGAGGATTTTTTTTTAATAAACATTAGGATTACTTATACCAAAGTATTTCATTGATATAAGAAACCATTTTTACTGAATGAAACTGATTCAGTCTTTTGTTGTGATTAACCAAAGCTAATCACAAGGTACAGATGGGCTGTGATTGGCCCTGTCTGTACCATGTGATCGCAATAACAGCAAACAACAAAATTGTATACAATAGTCATGTGATATCTGCTGTGATTGGTCACAGTGATCACATGACACTTACAGCAGGCCAGTGTAGTGGTCAGTAATCGGCTGTATCTGGAGGACACAACCAGTGAGAGATCGCACTACTGCATGGCCCTGGGGCAGTGTGAGCGGCACTTTCTGAGAGGATGTCATATGATGCCCACTCAGTCGACAATCTGATATAGGCCAGGCGGGAATGTATTAATCACACTTTCCATTTTTCCCTACTGCTTTATCTGACATCAGGAGCAAACAGATATAGAGAGTACTTTGGGTATGGAGGAGCATTGCAACACACTTGTCCCTCTTCCTCATTCATTTTGATTTTCAGCAGGTTAAAGTAGAATTCCGGGATGTGCTTAACTAATCTTAAAAATGTTCTCTCCCCCTTCTAATACCTATTCTAACCAACTTGTGTAAGAAAGATCTACATATGTACTCATTTTCAACCTGCTCCAGTCACATGATCCATTTTCTGCCAGCTAAAGGCTTCAGGGGAGAGGAGGGAGCCCCAACAACGGATGGGCCATAGTAAGCCTATGGGTGACACCACTGTTCTAGGCATAACTAGCAATTGTCAGAGCCTGTTCCCTGCAGCTGCGATTGATGACAAGACATCACATGAACAGATTGGAGTGGCCTGAAAATAGGTATACGCATCTAGCTTAGTTAGGTGAAGCATTTTTAGGAATAGTTAGGTGCATGCTAGTTTTCTGTTAGAAAATATGTGTTGATCTTGTCAAAAATGCAGTGTCTGTCTTTATCACGTCCTGTGACCTGAAAATACAGGAAAAACAATCTCATCTTTCCTCAATCCACCATATAATAGAAATAAAGCCATACTTGTTTGAAGTCAAGTCTGTGTGATATCCAAGACTGCCTCCATAGATACAGTGGAGAATTGAGTGTGCCATGAAGGGACAGGGAGTGTGCAATTTTCAGGATTACCAGGTGAAACAAAAAGGGAACCTGGACTGGTGAGCTGCCATATACTATTTTAGTTTTTGTGTGTGTAGAAAAGCTTTAATTAATTGTTCAGGAGACAGTTCAGGAGACAGTTTAAAGAAGCAGTAGTCATTAAATTGTAAAGAGCCAGGAAACATGCTCCATCTTTGAATTCAACAGGAAACCTCTTAAGAAGTAGGTACCTGCTTTATTTCTTTTTAATTCCCAAAGAGCAATTCCAGTATTTTTTTTAATGGGAGCTCTCCTACCCAAAAAGCTGTACTATCCATCACTCCTCTTTCATGTCCATTCACAGAACCCTTTGTATTCTGCGGATCATTCACAAAATACAAGTGTTTTATGAATGGACAGGGGAGAGAATGGGTGGTGAGTGGTGGAAATATAGTATAAACTGTACTGTCAAGCATCAGTGAAACTGGAGGCAGCCATCCTGAAGGTGGCCACCTCATTACAGTCAATTGTTGGTACCCAACACATTAGTCACTTCCCGTCTGCCCTATAGCAGTAATACACCTGATTTTGCATTTCCGAGTAGGGGCGCGCGCCCTACCCGTGCCGCTATTTGCAGCCTCGGCTGTCAATTCCTGGGTCCCAGACGGTGATTGCTCGCCAGGCACCCGGTGATCGACGAGCATTACCGACGGAGGGCGAGAGATGTAAGTAAACAATACATTTCTCTCCCCTGTGAGCTCCTGCACACTGCTATGCAGCATATATATCTGCTGCAGCTGTCGATCCCCAAGTCCTGGCCAGAGATTCCTCGCCAGCACCCGGCGATCACTGATGAACAGTGACAGGGGAGAGGTCTGTGTGAAAACAACACAGATCTCTCCCCTGTCAGTACCGACATGCTGCTTTGTATTTCTCTGCATAGCAAAGCAACACAAAGCAGCATGTGTCCCTAGTAAAGCACACACAGTAAAACAGCACAGTTAACCCTTTGAATGCCCCACATTAACCCCTTCCTGCCCAGTGCCATTAGTACAATGTCAGTGCTTTTTACTAGCACTGATCACTGTATTGGTGTCACTGGGGATGTCAGTGACACCAAGTCAGTTCCCCCCAGTGTCAGAATGCCCGCCACATTCTCGCTATAAGTCACTGATCGCCGCAATTACTAGTAAAAAAAAAAATCCAATATATATACCGCCATTTGTAAACACTATAACTTTCATGAAGGCCAATTAATTTACACGTATTGTGATTGTTTTTTAGTAAAGATATGTAGCAGAATACATTTTGGCCTAAATTTATGATTAATTTCGATTTCTTTTTTACTGCACATGTTTAATAGCAAAAAGTAAAATATATTGATTTTAATCTCAAAACTGCACAGGTGATCAAATACCACCAAAAGAAAGCTCTATTCGTGGGGAAAAAAAAGGACATAAATTTCATTTGGGTGCAGAGTTGCATGGCGCAATTTGTCAGTTAAAATAACGCAGCACCATAACACAAAAAAAAAAAAAAAAAATGACCTGGTCGGGGGGGGGGGGGGGGGGGGGGGGGGTAAATCCTCTGGAGGGCAAGTGGTTAAAGGGGGTGATTCTTTTCTATACCCAGTGTGCCTGACATTTGGTTTTTGCCTGCAATCACTCGCATTCTATTGAACCTACCGACAACACTTGTTTTGTGCACATCAGGCTCTGTGCCTGAGAATGAATCAGAGAGTTCATCAAAGAACTGTTCCATGTCTTTTAATTCTCCTTCGGCCATCAGCTTTATCCTGTAGGAAAAATGCATAGAGACATTTATTTTTCAATATTTTTTATTGACAGATTTTATGACAGGACATAGTATGAAAATATGGTTCATTGTCAAGCAATATACTTGACATAGAGACATTTAAGAAACTATGGTATAACATTGGTCATATATTGTTCAACATAACATATGTCCATGTCAAAATTAACCTCTATAACCTCCAACACAAACTGAGGGTCATTTACTAAAACTGTAGAGTGTAAAATCTGGTGCAGCTCTGCAAAGAAACCAATCAGCTACCAGGTTTTCTTGTTCAAAATTTTTTATTTTGTTCGTAGGGAGGGGTAACATAGATAAAACAAATAAAGTATACAATATACAATACTTATACAGTGAATTTTCTTGGGAATGCAGTATTAACCGTAAACCTCAGAACGGTAACAGGTAAGAACTAACTAGTGAACAATATTAGGTGGGGAATGTGAAGGTGGGAGAAGACGGGGGAAAGGTATGCGACTCCGCAAGTGAAGAGAAAAAGGAAAGAGAGGGGAGCTGTAAGAGTAAAGGGGAGGGTACCAGAATAGTTAGGAGTGCTGGTTACGGAGTGAGAAGAGTTTCATCAAAGCAGATTCCAGGTTTTATTGCCAAAGCTTAATTGAACAAGCTGATGTTTGAAGCTGATTGGCTACCATGCACCAGATTCTGAGTTTTACTAAATCTCTCCCACTGTTATGATAGCTAGAAAGTATACGAAAAAAAAAAATGAACAAAATTCTGTTACTTAGTGCAGTGGTGGGCAACCTTTTTTTTCAACTGAGCCAAATCTCGCCAAAACCACGATTGAAATTTATTTTGAGAGCCACATTTTTAAAACTGAAAATACATCCCCCATATAGTAATTCATCCCCCATAGTAATTCATCCCCCATAGTAATTCATCCCCCATATAGTAATTCATCCCCCATATAGTAATTCATCCCCCCTATAGTAATTCATCCCCCCTATAGTAATTCATCCCCCCTATAGTAATTCATCCCCCCTATAGTAATTCATCCCCCCTATAGTAATTCATCCCCCATATAGTAATTCATCCCCCATATAGTAATTCATCCCCCTTATAGTAATTCATTCCCCATATTGTGTCAATTCACTTACCTTTGCTCCGCGGGTTCCTCTCGCCGTGTTCCCGCGCCGTTCCGGTCTTCAGGGCAGACTGTGAGAGGAGAGGAGTTCGTCACGCTGCCCCGCCTACATCCTGACAGCTAATGTTTGCCACGCTCCGCGGGCCGGATTAAAATGTCCGCCGGGCCGTATACGGCCCGCGGGCCGTAGTTTGCCCATTGCCGGGCTAGCTGCAGAGTCCTGACTTTTGGTGCGGCCGCCCGAGAGGAGGGAGGGGAGCAGGCGCCCGGCACACAGAAGAGCCGCATGAAAGCGTGTAAAGAGCCGCATGTGGCTCACGACGAGCCGCGGCTTGCTGACCACTGACTTAGTGGATGAAAAATAATTGTTTTCAACTTTTCAGAGGCAAAAAAAAAATGAATTGAAAGGAATTTATATTCAACCTGCCAACTATTTTATTTAGCCAATAACATATACAATAAATGGAAATAACGACACAGAAAATAGCTTTTAGCAAAATCATTGCCAATAGTAATTTTTTTTTGTACCCATTCCTATTACAGCTGCAGTACATACGGTTTGAGCACAGACACAAATCCATGATATTAAAGCTAGAAACCACATTAACCATTTGACCTATGGTTTTACCCCCTTTATGACCAGGGCATTTTTTTTTTTGCTATTCATCACTGCACTACTTTAACTGCTTGGTCTTGCAACACTATACCCAAATTAAAATTATATAATTTTTTTCACACAAATAGAGCTTTCTTTTGTTGGTATTGATCACTACTTTTTTTTTTTTTTATATAAATGAAAAAAAAGATCACAAATTTTGAAACCCCCAAATGTTCTACTTTCTGTTACAAAACATTCAGTAATTTCAAATTTCTTTTAATAAATTTAGGCCAAAATATATTCTGATACATGTCTTTGGTACAAATAAATAAGTATATATTAATAGGTTTGTGTGAAAGTTATAGTGTCTACAAACCATTTAAATTCATGCATCTAATGAATTATAGTGTGATCGTGATAGTGTGGCGTGCAATCTGGCATTAACAGACACTAGCTGGGAGGAACGCTTAACTGATATCGCCAGTGACACTAATACAGTGATAATACTGCACACTCTGATGACACTGGCTGGGAGGGCGTCAACATCAAGGGGCAATTAAGGGGTTAACTGTGTGCCCAACAAGTGTACTTACTGTGTGCCGCTTTTACTAAACAGATCATATTGCTTGTTCTCCCGGAATGGAGTTGGAGTTTATTTCAGGGAGAAGGAACAGCCATATCGCTGTCTGTGTACAGAGTTCTGTGTGTCTGTAAACACATAACTCTGTGCTGTGATGGGCCACAGCCGATCAACAGGTATAGAGACAAAATGATTGGCTGCAACCTGCTGACAAACTGAAGCTGTATTCAATCACAGCATGGGTCAGCAGGGGGCACACATGCATACCCAAAAACCAAGAAGTTCCCCACGAAGTACGGTTATCTCGCTGTGCTGCCTGCTAGCATTAACTGTACTGTTAGCGGGCAGCAAGTGGTTAAGCTCCCAACCCTGCAACTGATGCAGTACATACCAAGAATGAGGGAGAGCCCAGATGGAAAAAGTCAAATATATTTCGTCACTCCCTTTTGTGGACAAACTGAATGATAAATCAATTAATTTATCTCCATTGAACAATTTCTCGTTCAAAATTTGGTCACTACATGATGGTAGTATGAGCTCAGCTGAACAATTTTTCGTTTTCCAAAAGCATTTATGAAGAATTTTTTGTACAGTGTATGCCCTGCATTAGATGTGTAACTTTGCAATAATGTACCTGATTTGCACCGAACTTGCCATATTTGGACAGCAATCTTCAATAATTTTGAGCAGTTTGGACAGTGACATATCAGGACCCTGCAAAAAAAAAAAAAAAAAAAAAAATTAAATATGAATTTACTTTCCAATTAGTAGGATACATTTGTATATGACCAAGGAAGGATTTATACAAATCTGCACCTTAGGCCAACTGTTTCGTACAGCTCAATCCTGCACAGGACTACTCCTCTCTCATACAAGTAAACGAGAATGCAAAATCAGAAAATAAAAAGTCAGGGAGGGGTTAACGGTATCAAAAATGTATCAAGCTAACAACCATAATATCCACTCAAATAAAGTACAAGTCCAATGGCACACATGAACTCCACAGATCAGCGATGTGTAGAAGTGCTCCCAGGATTTAAAGTCTGCTGACAGATCAAAAGCCGGTCCTAGCGTGCTGGACCAAAAATTGTAGCTGATGACTTTTAATAAACAGCCACTCAACGGATCAGGAATCCAGCACTGTGCTCACCCCCGCCATTTTCACCTGGCTGTGACAGCATGCGGCTTCACAGCCGGGTGACCACTGGGTATGTACAAGCCGCACTGCGCATTGTCAATGGTCCTCTATTCCTCCCACTAACACCAACAATGGCACACTATTCCTCCCTCTGAAACAAACATTGGGAAACAATTTCTCCCACTGACTCCAATGTTGAGGCACTATTCCTAGCACAGACCACCAATAATTCCCCCAAGCCCGTGCCCCCCCCCTCCATCACGACCAACAACGCCACCATCAGTCCCACCCCACAAGTCAAAGTCCTAGGTGTCACTCTAGACTCAAACCTGTCCTTCCAACCCCATGTCCAATCATTGGCAAACTCATGCAGGCTCCACCTCCGCAACATCTCCAAAATACGTTCGTTCCTAACCCCAGACACTACTAAACAACTCGTTCACTCCCTCATTATCTCACGTCTGGACTACTGCAACTCCCTTCTCACCGGCTTACCTCACCGCAGACTATCCCCGCTTCAGTCTATCCTGAACTCAGCGGCCAGACTCATCCACCTTACCAACCGCTCCGCTTCTGCCACCCCCCTCTGTCATTGCCTCCAATGGCTCCCCATTGCCCAACGCATTAAATTCAAACTACCAACACTGACATACAAAGCCAATCATAATGCTGCCCCAAACTACCTCACCGACCTGATACCCAAATACCACCCTACCCGTAATATTCGCTCCTCACAAGACCTCCTACTTTCTAGCTCCCTGGTCTCCACCTCCCACGCCCGACTGTAGGACTTCTCCAGGACTTCCCCCATCCTCTGGAACTCACTACCCCAATCCATCAGACTGTCACCTTCCCTCCTCACCTTTAGGCGCACCCTGAAAACCCATCTCTTCAGGGAAGCCTACCCCGCTCTCACCTAACAGCCGATCTCCTCCACTCCTCCCACCACTCCATCCCCCACAACCACTTCCTCCTGTACCACTATCCCCTCCCTCCTAGATTGTAAGCTCGAAAGAGAGCAGGGCCCTTGACCCCCTCGTGTTCTGTTTTGTTACTGTACTGTCTCATGTACTGTCCCCCACTATAATGTACAGCGCTGAGCAAACCTTTTAGCGCTATATAAATACTGTATAATAATAATAATGGGCCACTTGTTCTTCTACTAACATCAACAAAATGGCTCCTTTCCTTTCACTAATAGCAGCAATGGGGCACTATTCTTCCCTCTGTAAAAAAACAATTTCCATCACTAACACCAAGGATGGGGCCCTTCTTTCTTCCACCGACAGTGCACTTTTCCTCCACCGACACAACGACAGCGCACTTTTCCTCCAACGACATTGCCTAGCCAATCTCCAGACCTTAATCCAATTGAAGATCTGTGGAGGGAGCTGAAAGTTCGAGTTGCCAAATGTCAGCCACCAAACCTTATTGACTTGGAGAGGATCTGCCAAGAGGAGTGGGCCAAAATCCCTCCTGAGATGTGTGCAAACCTGGTGGCCAACTACAGGAAACGTCTGACCTCTGTGATTGCCAACAAGGGATTTGCCACTAAGTACTAAGTCATGTTTTGTGAAGGGGATCAAATACTTATTTCCCTCATGAACATGCAAGTCAGTGCATCATTTGTTAGACATGCATTTCTGCTGACTTTTCTGTTGCTATTCTGTCTCTCAGTATTACAATACACCTACCATTCGATTTTTAGACCGATCATTTCTTTGTGAGTGGGCAAACATTCACAATCAGCAGAGGATCAAATTTTCCTTCACAGTATGTGTGAGCTGGCCAGGAAGCTGTCCCCTGTACGGGCCCATTCACCTTTGGCATTCCCCGGCTGCAGGTATATACGCCCCTTGTATACATGCTGCAGAACGTAGGTGCAGACGATTCCTGGTCAGCTTGCACACGTGAGTTCAGATCCTAGTCCGAACACACCTGAACTCATCACTACTGACCACCAACCCCACTGGCCACAATCTGGACCCTCTAATGCTGGATTCAGACTATAGTGGTGTGGGAAATCCCATGCGATTCAAATCGGAATCGAACCACATTCCTGTGTGAATCACATGTTCTTTGCAGTGCAGCATGCAAGAAAAAGATGCAGAAAAAGTACAGGTTTTTTTTTTTTTTTTTTTTTTGCGGCACCAGAATCAGATCACATGGGTGTTTTGTAATCCGTTTTGGGTCGTCATTATTTAACATTTGCACTGGTGGGAGATCACATGACCAGAGTGTAATTTCAACGCGGTGCAAAAACGCTCAGGATTCGCTGCATCTCCCACACCGCCTATACGTGAATCAGCGTTATCGTGTGAAGGACAGTGAACTGGCCCTTTGGAAGGTCTGGGGCCCTCTATCTATAGCAGTATCTGTGGATTTCATGCAAGGCCATGGTCTATGTTGGTGACATCAGCACCCCCCTAGGTATAGGACCTGGCTGACAGCAGTTCTTGTCGTTCCTAGGATGGAAGGAGGTGTCTGGTATCGGAGGTGTCTGGTATCGGAGGTGTCTGGTGTCGGAGGTGTCTGGTGCCCGGAGCTGGCACTCACCTGGAGAAGGGGCAGGATGTGTTTGTTGAGCCTCCTCTTCTCCAGCCCACTGATCTCCATGTTCTTGGTCATCTCGCTCAGCAGGACCAGCACTGAGATCTTGTACGGCGTCACCCAGTCTTTAATCCCAAACACATTGGCATGTACCACTCCATTGGTCATCATGGGGTTAAAGTACAGGCTCTCATGGACACTGGCCATGTCTACCACGGGGGGACACAACCGGCCGCCCCTCCTCCTTCCTACACAACACTACGACTTTACAACAACCCGCGTCACCACAGCGGCCAATAGGAACGCGACGGAAGCCGGAACTACACAGTTCACAAAAGGGGCGGGATGTCATGTGACAGTCACAGAGAGGGAGCGCGGAGCGATTTAATGGGGGCGGAGCGAGTTCATGAGGGCGTGTTGCAATGCCGCGCACGTTCTGCATTAATACAAGCGTGCGCAGGAAAAGACATAACAATTATGGGGTTCATGGGAGAGCATGAGGTGAAATGTGACCTATGGGTGTCATGTAGGTTGCAGAGGTGTGCGTGGGGTGCAGGAGGGCGGGGGAGGCCATGAGGTCCATCAGCCATAACATTATGACCACGGACATGTACAGTAAATACCATTAGTGATCTTTGCAGTGCCATTGGAATGTGTGGGATATATTAGGAAGCAAATGAGCATGTTGTTGTGATGGATATGGTAAAATGCCTATTTGGTTTCCTATTGAATATATATACTATACGTTTTTCTATACATTTTTATACCTATATACTTTAATACTATTTCTTTCTTCATATTTATAAATGTTTACTATGAATACATATGTTGTGTGAATATTTTCTGCCTGCTGGGCTTTGTGGTACTTTAAGAAATCCTTGCTTAAGAAATGTCTGCTCACACGCACCGACCCCCTCCCATCGCACTGATTCCCCCTCCCATTGTGCCAACTTGAGACAAAGGAATGTTTTTCTTTCTATAGATAAGACTTGGAAGAAGATCACACCTATACCATGATGGAGATTGTTTTCCCGTGGAAATGACCAATCAAAGACTAATATAATGCTTATGCTGTTGTCACATGACTCTCGCATCATTTTGCATATATAAGCTCACTTTCTCGTTATAATAAACTAGAAGTGTTCATAGACTGAACTTGTGTGTCAGTGTGAGTCTCTTCCAGTGTGCGCACATTTCAAAGCTAGCTAGCAAAGATTAATTAGGACAGGAGAAGATAATCAACGGACACTTTTGGTCCTTATCTAATTCATTGTCCCTGAAGTTGATTGGCAAAGCTAAGGATCTGAGTGACTTTGACAAGAACTTTGCAATGGCTAGAAGACTGTCAGACCATCTCCAGAACTGCAACTGTCATGGGACGTTCCTGGTCTGCAGAGATCAGGACCGACCAAAGGTGCTCCAATGCAGGAAAATTAGCAACAGAGTCATGGGTGACAAAGGCTGGATCGTGTAATCCAATCCAATAGAAGAGCTACTGAAGATCACATTGCTGAAAAAGTTCAAGCTGGTTCTGATAGAAAGGTGTCAGAACACACAATGACCAAATATAAAATATGACATCAATTTTTAAAAAATCCAATTGGTAATGAGTCCCATGAAGTGTATACATTGAAATATAATACATTAATAACAGCCCCAGTGATTCACAAAATCTGCCCCATAAGGTGTAACAATTAGGGAAATAAAAAAGTGATAACAGTCTCCAAGATCCAAATCACCATGCTTCCTGTGGACAGCTCATCAGTAATTCATCCTAGGTTCACATCTGTGCGGGTGGTGCCGCTGCAGATCCACATAAAAACCGTGCAGCTGCACCACCCGCACAGAGAAATGCGGCCCCGCGGGCGGGTGCCATTACTTCTAATGGCACGCCGCCTGCACTGCAAAGCGCAATCGTACTGGGAGCCGAGGTTCCCGTGCGGGCTGCGTTTTCAGAAGAAGTGCAGAGACTTCTCTGTGTGTCACTGGGCATGGGAGTCCATTCAAATGAATGGGCTCTGGTGCCCGTCCAAAACACGGCCCGCACGGCCACATATATGTGAACCAGGGGTAAGTGCTCCACCACACATAGAAGTGTTCCACCACCAGAGGAAATCGCTGTTCACCTGAAATATTGGACCTATATAATGCAGGTCATAGCCGGGTCGTTTATCGGCCGAATTTTCATCCACACGAAAAATCGGCCGATAATCACGCCGTTAGTGGGGCCAGCCTGTCAGCCGTTTTTCGCGGATCTCATTTCTTTTTATCGGTCATGCTTGAAAATCTATCTCCATTTTTCGTGGACATGGGTGGCAGCATTGGCTCGGGGGCCGACCGATTTTTTGTTTATCGGCCGAAAATTCGGCCGATAAACGGCCTGTCTATGGCCTGCCTAACATACACTACATTGCCAAATCATTGCATTCAGATGTTCCAATCACCTCCATGGCCACAGGTGTATACAATCAAGCACCTAGGCATGCAGACTGCTTCTACAAACATTTGTGAAAGAATGGATCGCTTTCAGGAGCTCAGTGAATCCAAGCGTGGTCCCGTGATAGGTTACCACCTGTACAATTAGTCCATCCATGAGATTTGCTTGTTACTAAATATTCGGTCAACTGTACGGTCAAGATCTAAGCAAGTAATTAACCCCTTCAGTTTAGGCACAGCCCCACTGCAAGGGGTAATTTTTCATTTGCCTTGTGTTAGACTTCATATATAATAATGTGTATATAACCTTCTAGGAGATAACTATTCCTACTGATGATGGATAACATGGCCAATATTATACATGGAAAAGCCACCTCTTTGTCTCTGCCTACTTGTAAGCCTCAGTTTCCCTATCAGGCTTCCCCCACCCAGTACCAAAACTCCTCAAGAGCTGCACTGTGCTGCAGCTGAAGCAGGAGGTTGAGCTGCTCTAAGGATGGAGTGTCAAGATGAACTCTCAGGTCTCATTGCAAGGCCCCAGATTCACGCAACAACAGATACACCATATTGACAAAAATATTTGGACACCCCTCCAAATCATTGGATTCAGGTGTTCCAATCACCTCCATGGCCACAGGTGTATAAAATCAAGATTCTAGGCATTCAGACTGCTTCTACAAACATTGTGAAAGAATGGGTCGCTCTCAGGAGCTCAATGAATTCAAGCGTAGTACTGCGATAGGTTGCCACCTGTGAAATAAGTCCATCCGTGAGATTTGCTTGCTACTAAATATTCCATGGTCAACTGTTAGGCTACGTTCACACTAGCCTTGTTTTCAAGCGGCAGAAAGGCATTTGGGAAGCGTTTTTACTGCTTCCCTAACGCCTCGGACAATTCTGCCCATTGCAGCACATGGTGCTGTGCTAACGGGAGAGGTAGCGTCGCGTTGCGGCAAAACGGACGCCTCTGGTCGAGTCAGGAGGCATTGAAGCCTCCTATTCTAGTCTATGGTGCCGCTCCGCAAACGCCCCCGGCCGGCGTTTGCGGTGCGGTTGCGACGTGGTAAACACCATCCAAACTTCATTATAGGCGTTTGTGGGGCGTTTTTAACGCTCTGCAAACACCTAGCAACCGCCGCTGAACCGCGCATGCGGCGTTTGCGGAGTGTTAATAAACGCTCCGCAAATGCCGGACCAACGCTTGCCAAACGCTATAGGGGCGCTTGGCAAGAGTTGGTAAAACAGTCAAGTGTGAACGAGCCCTTAGTGGTATTATAACAAGGTGGAAGCAACTGGGAACAACAGCAACTCAGCCACGAAGTGGTAGGCCAAGTAAAATGACAGTGCGGGGTCAGCTCCATGTTTCATTTATGATGCTCATGTGGCCATTGTAGGTGCTTTTGGCTTTGGACATGGGTTAACAAGGGCACTCTGACCAGTCTGCAGCTATGCAGCCCCATACATAACAAACTGCGATGCACTGTGTGTTGGACCCTGAAGTAGCCACGTGGGTTGGTGGCGTAATGAGTAGGGCAGAGCCAAGTGGTCACCTCCAGTCCGGATACAAAAACCAGAAGTAGCCACAATTCATCCTGGTGATGTACTTTTAATATATGAGTGCAATATACTGCTGTTTGAAATATACCTTTTATAAAAAAAAAGTACACGTATTAACCACTTGCTAACTGCGCCATAGCCGAATGACGACTACAGCGCAGTTGTCCAGTTCTGGGAGGCATCAGCAGATCACCGAGTAAATACAGTTGCCGGTTATCAGCAGCACTTTCCTGGAAAGTACTGCCAATAACCGGCAGCTGTCACAGAGCAGATCGGCACTGATCACCAGGGCACCGATGATCAGAGCCCTGATGATTAGTTCCCTGCAGTGCCACCCAGCAGTGCCGCCCATAAGTACCGTCAATCAATGCTACCAGTCTGTGCTGTCAGTCAACGCCCTCATCAGTACCGCCTATCAGTGACCATCATTGCTGCATATCAGTGCCTCCTCATCAATGCCCATCAGTGCCACCTCATTAGTGCAGCTATCCATGCAGCCTATCCATGCCACCCCATCAGTGCTGCCCATTAGTGCCCATCAGTGCTACCTATCAGTGCAGCCCCATCAACGCACATTAGTGAAGGAGAAAAATTACCCATTTGCAAAATTTTATAAGAGAAACAAAGAAAACCTTTTTTGTTTATAGTGCAAAAAATAAAACACCCAGTGGCGATTAAATACCACCAAAAGAAAGCCCTATTTGTGTGAAACAAATGATAAATATTTAATCTGTGTACAATGTTGCATGACCGCGCAATTGTCATTCACACTGTGACAGCGCTGAAAGCTGAAAATTGGCCTGGGCACGAGGGGGAAACGATTAGAGGCTTCCTGTTCTTTTGTTGAACTCTCTTGACATTGTGATGGACAGGCTGGTGCTGAGGATATAGATTGAACCTGCTGCCGCTATTTAGGAGGATTTAAAGGGAACCTGCTGCCACCTGGAGGATAGTTTGGGAGATGCTTGCTGATGGTTGATTTACATTCAATATGCCTTTGTGACCTGTGTATACACTATATTGCCAAAAGTATTGGTCGGCCTGCCTTTCCACACACATTAGCTTTAATGGCATCCCAGTCTTAGTCTGTAGAGTTCAATATTGAGTTGGCCCACCCTTTGCAGCTACAAACAGCTTCAACTCTTCTGGGAAGGCTGTCCACAAGGTTTAGGAGTGTATCTATGGGAATGTTTGACCATTCTTCCAGAAGCACA